TGAATATGTCTTTTGACGCGGCGGGCATTTAAAAAAAAAAACGACGCCGAAACCATTTGCCATGAGCACCTTTCCAATAATCTAAACAAGAAGCCTCTCACGAAGGGTTCGTAAGGCGTAGCTAACGACGAAGAAAAACCGCCGTGCTCTTCCATCGCTGTTGGGGTCTGTTGCTGAGATAATTAATCACTGATGCTGGATGGTGGACGTCCATGACGTCATTTCGTTGCGGGGACGCATCCGTTGACAGAATGGTCATCAGATTCGAGAAAAAGAAGCGGCGAACGCTCGCAGCCTTGAGAATTGTTTTTCGGCTGGAGACGTGCATTATTATTCCGAACCCCGAACATGATTGCCTATTGACTTCTGGAGCCGGGCCTCTGCTGGCACACTCTCCAGGGAAATTGATGGACCTTATGAGCCCGGAAAAAGCGGTGTATATGGAGCTGGTTTCTCTAAGTTCACGGACTTCACGGATCTTACGGATTCATGGATTTGTGAATATCCGGCTTTACAGCCAACGGCTTTGGGCCTTCTAAATTCAAACAAATCCTTTTACAGGAATACCAAGCCCTGGAAAGGGCCGCCGCGTGAGTCTGTCGTGAGGCAGGGGCTCGAGTCGCTAGCAATGTCTTTGTGCGTGACATGAACATTGGTTTGCTGCTGGCGGACTGCCGCCGGGTTGAGGTGCTGGCCAGAGGCGTGCCACCGTGGCAAGGCACCCAAGTGGCCATGGACACCACGTTAATTTGCCCGGTGTCTCGGATGGAACGGCGCGACCTGGGGCCGCGGTTCTGCCTCGCAGCAGGCCGCCTGCCGTAAGCCGTGGGAGGTGTACCCGGAGTTGGTCGCCGCACAGCGGTGCAAGCTTGTAGGCCTTGAGGTTGGCGGCCACATGGACGCTGAGGCAGTCGACCTCCGACGCTCGGCGGCCTCGAAGGCACGCGGCGCGCCCGCCTGCTTGAGAAGGGCAGCCCTGCAGGCCAGCGTCCACAGATGGACCAGATGATGGCCGTGGCGGCCCACCGCGGCTATGCACTCTCATTGCTGGCAGACGAATGCGACGGCACGGAGCTGCCCTTGGCGGAAGTGCTGGCGGACGCCCAGGCCGTGGAGCCCATGCGCCAAGGCGGGCACGCTGACGGAAGGCCAGCGGTAAATTGCAGCCGACCCAAACGGATCTTGTCGTGCAGTCATAAACGTCCGCGGAAAAAACTTTCTTCAGAGAAATACCAAATTCTGGACGGCTGGCGGTGTGAATTGTTATTCCGAAACCCCAGAACAATTGCTCATTGAGGATCCGGGCGTCTGGTGGACTACCGCACGCAGAAAATTGACGGATCGTATAATTTCGTATAATCCCGAAACAGCGGTTTACATGGATCTGGTTGCTCGGAGTTTACGGATTGTCGGATTTTCCAAAAAAGGCCTCATAGGTAAAGGCTGTGGTGCTAGAGCATTGGAATTAATATCCTTGAAGGCCTCGAAGGCAAACCTGGCTTAGGTAAGAAATTTTGATATTTGTAAAATTTGGCCTCGAATATTTCTTATCCCGAAATTAATATTTCATTCCCTAAGCACAAGCGGGTGCGACATTAATCGTGTTTTTAAATCCGCGGTGTGGGCTGGCCCATGAAACACACAGCAGGCAGCATTTCCTTCATCGGCCGCAAGCATTGCAAGCGAGCAGATGATTCTGTATTTATCTCTGTGTGTTTGGCATGTAAACGCAACGGAACGCAGTGGCTGCAGGTAATTAATTCTCTTCCCGCCTGCAGCCAACAGCCTCAAGAGCTTATGTGTTGTTGAACTCCCACCTGCCATTCCCTGTCACCGCCTGGACTTTTTTGGGCTCTCTGCCTCTGGGCTCTGCCTCTGGGCTCTGCCCCGTGGGCCATGTCCTCGGCTCTGTCTGTCCTTCTCCTGCCTGCCTCGCACGCCTGGACACCTGCCTTGGACTTTTCCGTGCTGGCTGGGAGCCTCGCTCCCCTGCCTGTGCTGCAGTCTGTATCTGTATCTCTGTCCTGTCATGTTTGCTCATGATGGGCCAGGTTCTGCAGGTTCTGTCGTTCCCTGTCTGGGTCTGACTGACAATGACTGATCTGTCTCTGTCCATTTTCTGCCACGGGACTTTAAACACTACATGGAAAAAAGGAGCGTGCTGCATTCTGCAGCTGTTCTGTTTTTTCCTGTCATTGAAACCGTAAGCAGACAGTCACTAGTGTGCTTGCCAAGCTGAGGGGCGTTTGTACATCGCGGAAACGCATTGGTTGGGGCATGCTTGGGTGGTATGCATGGTTTCCATGTTGCAAGCAACTCGCAAGCGCCCCGGATCCTGCCAATGTGCACCCGCGCAATGATTTTTCCATTGCTGACGCAGTGTGGAAAAAAATTCGGTCCCGAGTGGTTGTGAACACAGTTCAACCCGGAATGCCTGGTGAGAACGCACCTCCACAATGGCCGAATTGCCCAAACTTGCCATACAGATGTCTGGCAACGAAGAAGGTTTCGTCGCATGATTGAGTTTGGCGTTCAAAAATTTTGTGACGCGTTGTGCCCACGGGCTTCATCAGGCGATCCTCTGCGCATTTGGCAGCGCAGGGACCCCACCCAGTTTTCATGTAATTTAGGGTCACGTGGTCCTTCATCCTTTCGCTGAGCATTTGTCAGAACAAACAAGGCGCGGGGGTCACGTGGAGGCAGGTGCTTTTGAAACATGTTTCTTTCGCACACGCACCTTGCATTCGGCCAGGTTCTGCGGCTGTTGCATGCTCACGGCATTGATATGGAGGCAGGCACGTTATTGATTATGTGAAAACGTAATCTTGTAGGTAAACATGTTTACAGCATGTTAAAAGCGATGATCATGGTGCTGGCAAATCATTTGTGGAACCAGGTTCTTGACCGATTCGGTCGCGCAGCGCTCCATTTGGCTTGCGAACATGGAAAGGTGCTTGCGGGCAAGTCATTTGCAGATCGTCCACGGTGAAGACGCAAGAGGCATCCGCGGTGAACTTCCTACTGGATTGCGGTGCTCGGCCAGGGGTGGAGGTTGGTTGAAAAAGTGTCATGCAGGAATTGTCCACCAGGCTTCAAACCATTGCATCCCAACTTCTGCCAATACAGGACAACAGTGGTCGGAATGCTCTTCATTTGGCTTGCTGCTGCGAGGCCAGGGGCCTACAATCTCCTGCGATGCCACATGTGCTCCCGCATGAACATGATGCCCGCAGGATCCTGCTGTTTGCAGCGGTCTTGCCAGTGATGGCCTCCTACCAGCACCGTCACGCTGCGGTATGCTTCAGATCCGCATGCTTGAGGTCAGTTTCCGTACTTGGTGTTCCAAACAGATGCCCATGGAAGGCCTGTTGTTTATTGGTCCGAGTGTCACAAAAAATGAATATTCTCGGTACCCCGTTTGCAATGCAGCAGCATGACTTCCAGATGCTTGTCACAGTGCACCAACGCCTTCCATGCTGTTGTGCGAGTGCAATCAGCAACGTCCCTAACATGTTTGCCCTTGTAACTTGACACAATTGTTTTGGAAACTTTTCATTTCAGCGCAGCATGCTGCATGCCCCTTTGCTGTACGGCGGCTCTTGGAGTGCTAGCGGTCGATGCGTTGCAGGACGCCGCTCTTCTATGCGGCGTTGAATGCGCATCCGCAGAGTCAGGCTGAGGCAAGCCTTCCAGATGCCAAGTCTCAATTGCCAGCCAAGCTTGCCCGGCGAGAGGCAACGAGGACGTGCGGGGCCTATTGATTGGCTTTGGACCTTGGAGTCCATGACGCTCGCCATTTGGTGCTCATCACGCACATTCGTTCCAGGTTTTAGGTCTAGCCACTGTTGCTGCTTGTTGCTCAAGCCTACAGCTTGCAAAGCGGGAACCGATGTTTGCACAGGCACTCGCACCACATAGCATTTCAAAATCATAAGCAATGTCAGGTAGCTGCATGGACTTTCAAGCGGCAGGAAATAGTAGGCTTCCACAGCTCAAAGCTGTTCGCTGCGATGGGCCATGACATGCAATTTCCCTTTGCTCCACGCTTCAGAAGACTCCACCTCTGGGCAGCGGGCGTGGCGGCAGTGATTTGTGGCGACTTTGTCGCTTGGCAACCGGCTTTCGCAGAAGGCTGGGTAAAAGACAGTGGTGCCCTCCATGTCATACTAGCTCACCTTTGGCAGTGCTCTTGTTGAAAAAATTGAAGGCGTGGACTGTGCATTGCTTGCCTTCTTCGTGGCTGCGCTGTTTTACATGCTCTTGGTGAGCAGTCTTACAGAAGTCGCCCGCCAGCACACGGCTGTGTTGTCTACCAAAAGGGTCAACACAACTCTTGCAGGGGAATTTTGTGAACCGTAGGCATTTGCCAGACACGAAGCCCCCATCCCTGAATCTACTGAAGCACCCTTGTTTTTCTGATTCCTTTGTCGGGCATAAATTTCCAGGAAACCCTCTCAGATTTTGGCAGGTCATGAGTCGCATGGGCGATGCAGAAGGCCCAAGCCAGGTTGCTGCTTGCATTGGTCCCAGGACAGGCCCAAGCTTCCTTAATCCCCTCCCCCGAATAAGAAATCCGCCCAATGATAAAAGTCGACCTATCATGGTACTACATTGGGTTTTCCCGTAATCAGTGGAGGTGGGGTGGAATTAAGCAAGTCTTCAGCCATCCTTGCCACTTGTGCTTGAAGTTCAGAGCACGGAGACAGATCGGTGCACCTTTTAAAGATATCCGCGCTGAGATTTGACCTGACTTGACAAATGCAAAGCGTGCTGTGCAGGACTTCCTTCTTGGCTGGGTTCATTGAGTGCTTGAAGTGTGTTCTTATTATGGCAGACATAAATGCTGCCATGGGTGCCCTCATGGAGGCGGGACATGTCATTTGACTTTTGTGTCTGAATGTCGTGGGGGCGGGTCATGTGTACCCGTAGAGGAGTAGAGCAAGCTCGTTTTGCCATGCATCAGCTTCATAAGATGCATGGGTCCCACCCGAAGCCACGGGACAGGAGGCAACTCAAGGTATGATTCTGCTTGCGTTAAGGACGCGAGTTGAAGTAGAACCGGTTTGAAGACTGAAATGCAGATACGTGTTGGCTGCCCCTGCACTGCCTGCCAGGAGCTGACCCAGTCAGATCCAGATTTTCAGCCTCTTTGGTGGACTCTAGGCTCTTGTTGAACAACATAAATGTTTGTACAACACTATTACTGCATTATTGTAATATACTCATTATATTACTATAGATTAGAAATGATCATTTTAGATACCATCTCAACAAGAATCCAGGATTTTATTCTCTGCCTTGGTCTTGCTCCTCAACACCAAGCTCATGGCAATCTCGGTGCAAGCGTTTCTAGGTTGCTTTTAAGGGACAAATTAAGTGGACTATATAGGGCTGTGGGGATTATATAGGGTTATAGGGATTATTATATAGGGTTTTAAGTTAACATGCTGTAGGGGTCATATAGAGATAATTGGAAATAGAATGGAAACTACTATTTAGGGTTTAGGGTTCAGGGCTAAGGAACTTACATCAAGTTGCCAGGATGAGTACATCTAGTTAGTAATATGGTTTCCCCAGTATGGTAACTTGAATTCAGTTCCTTAACCCTCAACCCTATAGATCCCTACATACGCCCCGCTATATAACCACCCCCTGAGTACCCATGTTATAGTGACTCGAATTAAGTTCCTTAAATCCCTAATATAGCCTAACCATAAACCCTAAACCCCAAACCCTAAACCCTTTGTTCGGCAGAGAGCAAAAGAGGCGCTCAAAAAAACAACCCTAAACCCTAAACCCTATGAGGATAATATAGCCAAACCATAAACCCTATAAACCCTAAATCCTATAGGGGGCCTAAACCCTAAATCCTATAGGGGGATAATATAGTAACTTAAATTAAGTTGCTTAACAGCAACCCAGGCTGGTGGCAATGACTTTTTGCAGTCTGGCTATCGTGCTTGCATACTTTGTGGTCTCGTGGCTAGCCTGCCTTGAAGTCATTTTAGGGTTTAGAGTTTAGGGTGAAGGTTTCATTTCTGTCATGATGCACGTGCTGTGAAGCAAGCGTGAACCTAGGAGTCCACGAACTTTCAAGCATGCGCAAGAGGCTATGGCAGGCTGCCAGGGCATGCCCCGATTTGTCCCAGGATGTACCAGCATTCTCAGGCTATACTAACATGGTAAAGGTATTATCGTGATAGCCAAGCACCTTGTTAGGCGGAGAAATCCTCGATGATGTCTCATTCCTTCACTTTTTCAAGTCACTCCCGGCTGGGATTTGGTGTTTCTTGGGATTGGAAGAGATGCTTTGGCTGGGGAAGTTCTCCGTGGACATGAAAGCAAGATCCTCGCCTGCCTTGTTTTTCATTGAGTGTTGCAGAAGTTATCTTGCGATGTATTAGTAGCGCCTGCCTCAGATGTTCCCCGCGCGCTGACCGCTGCCTATGTGACATTGTTCATCCTGGCAATGCTGACCTTAATATGCAGTCTTGCTGCTTCTCCAGGACACAGGTGATGAAATCTGTGCTTGATAGCGTCCATAACTCGTTTTCAGTATTGTGCCCCTTTATTACTCCTACTACAGAACCCCATATAATATAGTAACTAGCTTCCATTTTAGGTTTCATGATCCCAATATAACCCCGAAGTGCCAGTCTGGGCTCTTGCAAGAGTTCGGCGCGAGGTATGACAGTCACTGCGCATGATAAGTTCCCTTTGTTGGTGGCATACTTTGACGTGTTCCACGAGACTGCCGTCACGCGTCACTTTGCCTTGCTTCTGTTGTTGGGCATGATGGCTGCCTGGCTGATACCTGCTTCATGAGGGACAATGACATGATTGCAGTTCTGTCAAGACCCGAGGGCTAATTTCGAAGAGTTGGGTGCCCAGGCTTCGCTGCACACATTCACCTTCGTTGGTGGGCAACTGGTTACGCAAATGGCTGAAGACTCCTTGTTCCCAGCATGCCTGGCCCAGCGAGACTCAAAGACAGGACATGTATCGGTGGTTCTGGATTTCACTTGCGGGGCTACTATTGCTATGATTATTACTACTATTATTAGTACCATTACTATTATTATTACTATTACTATTATTATTACTATTACTATTACTATTACTATTACTATTACTATTACTATTACTACTATTATTATACTTGTTGCGTTGAGAGCCACCGGATTGCAGGAGCTCCAACCTACTCCTCTGCCCTGTGCCTCATCGTGGCCCTCTTGCTGCTGGAGGTCGTGTTTCAGGCGCTTGATCATCAGTATGAGCCTGGTATGCATTGTTGGTTTCCTAGACTCCCTAGACCTATAGTTGGCCAGTGAGTGAATGAAGGCGCCGGATAGGTGATGGGGCAAGTTCCCGAATCTCTAGATGAGCTATAGTCTAGACTTCTTAAGGGGGGGTTTATATAGGGGAAGATATAGGGGACCACTATCGGGGTTATTAAGGGGGATGCTAGGAGTCTAGAGTACTGCTCAGACGATAGCGGAGTGTATCTAGGCTGCATGGGCCAAAAAGCAGTCCGGCACTGCCTCAACCAGAATAGAGCATGGGTATCTTCATTGCATACCGTTGTACATGTAAGGGGTGTGCCCAACAATTCATGATGTATGGAGTATTACGAAGTCAGACCATGTCAGGCACGAAGTGATGTAAGCTGGGGAGGGTGGCCTGCAATCAGCAATCAGACATGAAAGCCACAGACAGGCGGCTTAGACGTGGACAACGTTTCCATTGCAGCATTGCTGCTTGCGGTAGGGAGCGCCATGTTATCACCTGATCGCCACATATGTCTATTTGTCCAAGCAATGTTTGCTTGCATGATCCGTGTAAGGAAGATATCCAACGGAGCTTCACCAGTGCTGCTTCTGTGGTTGCGCTGGTTGGCTACTTGATTCAGCTGAGCTGCTTTATGCTGATCCGGTGCCGTAGTCCACCTGAGGCAGACGCTTTTGCGCAGGTTGTCGGCAGTCATGTGTATGGCACTGCATTGTTCGTGAGAATTAATTGATGATCTCAGATATTGTGCAGGACTCGATTTTCTTGTCTCCCTTCGGGGTGCTGGGTGCTGGAACTGCATTGGCGCTCACAATTGTGCTGCTCGCCAGTGTGCTGCTGTCACCTTTGTTCTATCCATTGAATTTTGGCGCCTCAGCAGCAAACAGCCAACGTTGAAGCACAGCCGTTCTTGTGCTGGCCCTTAGTCACAGAAGCATTGGTTCTTTGCATATTGACTTGTGCTCCGTCAGGCGGAGTAATGCTTTCGCTGGCCATGCTTCTGCTGGCCTGTTGCCTACACGAATCCTACAGACAGCAGCAGCGGAAGTCAATCAGAACTAGTATCCTGGCAGCAGTTTGCAGGCAATTTGAGGTGCTACTAAATCCTTACCTGTTCCGGATTTGCTCCTCCCTGGCCGCAGCTGAGGCAACATTATGCCAAGAACGGAGAGCAGCGAAAGGGACATCTCCCAGCCACAAGCACAGACGTGAGCTTTGCAACAGGCGTGGGGCATTCTGGAATTCAGGTCTAGCTGATACGCAAGCCTAGTAGCAGTGGCACAAGCTCCATGTTTTTAATTCAGTGGCACAAGTCCCGTCTTTTGAATGTGCACGGCTCTTAGAAAACGAGGCGGTGTTGAGTACATATATATATATATATATTTGTGTATAGATTGCCTGCATTTGGTATGGTGGCGTGCTTTGGAATCATGAACAGAAACTTCGTTGAATACAGAGGCTGCTGCAGCTTGCGGCGGACATAAACCATCGAGATTCCTTTGGCAGAGTCTTTGCCCCAGAGGGGCGTGCTGGTCTTCGCTAGCTGCATGACAGTGGCCTACAACAGGTGGCTCTTCATCATGCTGCAGAGGAAGGCTGGCTGCAAACAAGTTGTACTTGGGAGTTTCCTGAAGTGAGGCGTACTTTTCTGGGGGTCCCCATGCTAAGGTCTATATATGCCCCCCCATTTATGGAAAGTACCACAGGTCTCTGCACACATGAAGAAATTTGGGCGGCACACCTCCTGGTAGGTCAACTGATGTCTGTTCGCCTCTTGCTGAAGCACCGGGCAGATGCTGGCATCCAGGAGATCCCCAGCATACATGAAGTTTAAGCCAGTCGGTACTTGACGTATGAGACAGCTAAAGCTAGCACAATGTGCCTTGTGTACGTGGCATGTTGATGGGCTGCCGAGATTGAGTTAGCATGTTGCGCGGACATTTGTTCATCGCGGTCTATACATACCTCTCTAGATATGAGTGTTTGCACGCATCCACATATACATACATGTAACATGTGATTCAGTACACTGCAAACTGGGAGCTCTGAAGGACAAGGAGCGGGATACACCCCTGCAACTGGCCAATGGGGATGCAGCCTGGGGCCTGCAGAACAAAACTCACTGTGAGGAGGTTCATATAGTAGAGAATTTTATTTATAAAAGGTTATAGTATATTATTGTGTATTTCAATATGTTATAGTTTATCATAGTACATGTCAGTATATTATAGCACATTATCGTATATTCTAGTACATTACAATATGTTAGCAAATTAATATATATACCAGTATATTCTAGTAGATTACAGTATGTTATGGTATATCACAGTATGTGTTGAATCCTCATGCCGTCTGCTTGGCTATAGCTTTTGCGGCTCAACAGTAGCTAGCTGGATAGTCATGTTGCAGTTCATGTGAGGGTTGGCGCGCCAGCTTCAAAGTTAGAGGCAACATGCCTGACTGCTCAAGGGTTTAGGGTTTGGGGTTTGGGGTTTGGGGTTTCGGGTTTAGGGTTGAGGGTTGGTCAGGATTGCTGTTCTACAGATTCACGGTGAAACAAAGTGTTGCCAGGCATGGCTGATGCCGAGCAGAAAAAGAAGCTTTGCTGCACTTGGCGGACCTTGATAAATACAAGCCCAGTTTCCATGTAATTTTCCATGTTCTTGTCCATTTGATTGTCCATTTGATTCTCCATTATTCCTATTAATGCTATTCTTTAACGAATAATGCTAAAACCTCCAAACCCTAAACCCTAACCATTTTCCGTGCCTTTTGTCAAGCTCCGACACTAATGCGACGTAATAGTTAGTAACAATCACCTTGCCCTAAAGCCTAAAACCCTAAACCTGCTGATAGTTTTTAACAATCATGCTACCAAGGAGCTTCTCCATGGGCATAGACTTGGGCACCACATATTCCTGCGTGGGAATCTTCAAGGATGGAGAGGCGGTTAAAAGTTTAGGTTTTGTGTGAGGTCTGAGGTTTGAGGTTTAGGGCTTAGGGTTTAGGGCTTAGGGTTTAGGATTTCGGGCGTAGGATTTTGAGTTTACAGTTTAAGGTTGGGGTTCAGGATTTGGGATAGTGCACTCAAGAAAAAAAAGGTGCAGATTATCGCCAATGACCAGGGAAACAGAACGAGACTCGCCTTCAATTCTTTGATGGGGCCAAGGATAAGATTTGTTGTGAGGCAAGTTAGGGAAAACAGCGTTGGGTTCTGTGCACTGACACTCAGGACGCCATCTTATGTGGCATGGACGGAGAATGAAAGACTTCTGGGTGATGCTGCCAAAAATCAGGCTCCTTACATCTGTACTCGTACTGGCGCAAGGATCCTAAACCCTAAGCCCTGGTGCGGGGACCCAGGTTGCAAGCAATCCCACCAACACCGTTTTTGATGCGAAGCGCCTTATCGGACGCAAGTTCCAGGACCCTTGTGAGGCTGTTTAGGGCTTCATCGCTGCGAGCTGCATGGTCAAGAACATGACGTTTGGTTGTAAAGTTACTGTTCAAGACTTGCAGGGTGTTTGGCAAGCAATCAGGTGCTCGTGTTTCATGCTTTTGCGTATTATTGCCCTGAGCCTTACGGGCGTACAGAAAGAAATGTAAACCACTCAGCCCCTCTGCGACATTCGAGCTGTGGCGTGATTTGAGGATCCGGTCGTACAGGCCGATCTGAAGCTATGGCCTTTCAAGGTCGGATGCTGCCAGTTTCCCTGAACGTGTGAATTCTGCCTGGGAGCCCTGATGCAGCAATCCCCTAAGAGGAAGGCTGTTGCAAGGAAAGACTGAAAAATGCTCATTCAGGGTAGCAATATGCATGTGTAGCGATGCGGCAAGTGGCGGGCTACGAGAGTTCTTTACGCTTCCGTCCACTTGTAGGAATTCTTCAGTTCCTACAGAGCAGCAAGAAAATGAGTCATACGCTTTCTTTCCTCAGTTCGACATTTACGCAGAAAGCCCTTTTCTGCGTGGAGAGGTCGTGTCCGATGGTTCAACGGATGACAAGCCCTTGATAGAGGCCACTGTCCTACAACATCTTATGTTTTTTTTTTCCTGTGGGCTCATGCATACCTTGCACAATGTTGGCGAAGATCCGACATGACATTTTCACGGAGTGTGTTAATCAATTGGCTGATGTCTACGAGGCAGGTTTTTGCAGTGCGGGTTGCAAAGCATAAAGCGTTCCATTAGCTGCTGACGGCTTTCGAGCAATTTGGTTTCTGCCAGGTGTTTTACCAGGGAGTTGCCAAAGTCTTCCATCCGGAGGAGATTTCCTCCATGACTCATGGCAGCAGTTCTTTGTTTGCTCATTGCCTGCCTTTTCGGTTTGTTTTGATCCTAAACCCTAAACCCCTACACCCCAAACCTTCCTCAGGATTCTGACGAAGATGAAGCAGACAGCAGAGGTGCTTCAGTGGACATGTTGTGCAGGGGCCTCCTTGTAAGGTTTACGTAGGGTCCTTGTTATGGGAATTAGGGGTAACATGGGGATAATGGAGAAGAAATGGAAACTGTTATGTTCTGATAGGATATATACTGGGGTATGTTCAGAGCGCGCAGGCTTTTCTTGCAGAACTGCTCCATCTCAAGTCACCTTGTAACTTGCACTGCAGGCCTTTATGGGTCAACGCGTTCGGAACGCGGTCATCACCGTACCGGCATACTTCAATGACTCTCAAAGGCTTCCATCTCCTTGCGTGAGCATCTTTTGGGTTAAGGGCCCTTATTATGGGAACTAGGGATTTAGGGTTTAGGGTTTAGGGTCACGGGTCCTTATTACGGGAAGTAGGGGTAATATAAGGATAATGGAAACGAAAATGGAAACTACTACAGTATATTGGGGTTATATAGGGATAATGGAAAAGAAAATGTAAACTGCTTTTCAGCACAAGCGCTGCTTTCATGGAGGCAGGCTACGAAAGACGCCGGGGAAATTGCAGGATTGCGGCTCGTTAGCCCTGGCTGCCCACTGTTATAGTTCCCCTTAAGTAGATAGAATATGGCTTTGGGTACATCAAAAGAAGATCCCCATATAACCCATATTCTATCTATTTAAGGGGGACTATACATGCAATTCTCCTGCAGCAGGCCTTTTGTCATTCCTTGATGCCATAGGCAGAGACGTAGTGGGTAGATGCCAGATCTTCCTATCCCAGGAATGTGATGCGGATTGTCAATGAGCCCACAGCTGCAGCGATTGCTTATGGCCTGGATGCTAAGTCCAAGGAGCGCAAGGGTGGAAGCGCAACTCAGCAGCACCAAATAGGCAACAGATCTACAACATATTTTTTTGCTGTTCAGTTTCTGTCTGTTTTGCGTCAGCGTTGTAAAAAAGAATCTCAGGGAAAAGCTGTGATGCTAGTGTAATCCAAATGGTATTTCAATTTCTTCCAGAATGGAGCTGGGAGAGAGCGGGTGGTTTCCTCGTAGGCAGATTGGGCGGGCGTTCACAGTGGCCTGCATCGTACTGGCTTGTAGCCATGGATGCTGGCCTCCATACAGCGCCAAGAGGAAATAGATGGCGGGACATGAGCAGCTGGGGGACGATTTTTTGACTCTGAGCTGTAAGGGCTGCGCCGCAGTTCCCTGGGTACAGATGATGAGAACTTCAGTTCGTGCTGGTGCAGGAATGTGTGTTGCAATTGATCGGGAGACTTGCTTGTAGGGCAGATGTGTTGGCGTTCACAGTGGCCTGCATTGTACTGGCTTGTAGCCATGGATGCTGGCCTCCATTAACAGAGTGCCAGCTGGGACAGGCCCAGCGAGGCTGAAACTGTTAGGAATTGTTGCAGTTTCAGGGTGCATGAGCTACGCTCATGGCAGCGCTTCAGGGGATTCTTGCAGTCCTGCAGAAACTTCTTCAGGTCAAGGAGACAAACATCCTAGTTTTCGACATGGGCGGCGGCACTTTTGATGCAGCCTGACTGGAGGTTGTTGAGAGTGCAGGTGGTGCGGCGTGACACGACCCTGTTGTAGTTGGCCTCAGCCCAGGTCTCCATTTTGACAATCACAGACACGGTCTTCGAAGTAAAAGCCACTGCTGGAGATCCTCACTTGGGTGGGGAGGATTTTGACAATCGCCCCACGACTAATTGAAAGTTCCGGATGCTAGTTTCTCGGTCTTGCTGACTGAGCTGTGAATCCCTCTGGTGCCAAGGCATGCTCAGCTACTGCATCTCGGAGTTCCGCCGAAAGCACAAGTCCGATCCAACACGGCCACTCGGCACGTCAGGTTGAGCTGTGCTGGGTGTATGGCCCCATGGATTAATCTGAAGGAATAACGCAAGAACGGGGCTCAAAGCAAGCTAGACTTTAAACTGAAGTAGCCGACCGGCAGTTCCTGATGAGGAATCAACGAGCCCTCCGAAGACTCCGGACACAGTGCGAGCGTGCGAAGCGGCAGCTTTCCACACAGACCTCCGTGACCATAGAGTCAAAACCTTAGATCTGCACTGAAGCATCTTTTCAGCTTTGTTTCGAATGAACGGCCTGGAAGCTTCAGGATAGACTCCTTGCACGAGGGTGTTGACTTTAGCCTGCGGCTTTCCCGTGCAAAGTTTGAGGAGCTTTGCAGCAGCCCTAAGAAACCTCATGGGTCAAAGGTTCCTTCATTCCGTCATGCCATGCGCCCAGAGGTATGGACTACTTCAAGAAGGCCATGGAGCCTGTTTCGCAGTGCCTCGTTTGCAAAGTAGAGCATGGGAACATGTGCCTGTAGTGGGATGGGGGCAAGGTGCCTGGCGGATAGCAGCCTTCCCAAGTCCCAGATCTCTGATGTTGTCCTCGTTGGCGGATCCACGCGCAGGGAGCCAAGGGGCTGCCATGCCATCGCGGGTGGGACTCTGACGAGAGTGCTTCTAGTGTTTGCCTTTTGACGAATCCTAGGCATCCCCAAAGTTCAAGAACTAATCAGTTCCTTCTTCAACGGCAAGCACCTTTGCAAGGCACTTGCATGCAGATGAGCTGAAACGTGCCAACTACACGTGTAGAGTGGAGAGTTGTCACGGAGCCAGGAGATCAACCCGGATGAGGCCGTCGCATACGGGGCAGCTGTGCAGGCAGCCATCGTCTCGGGCACAGGTGCCGTGGCTTTACCAGTAGCGCGCTGCATGAAACATCATGAAACAAACCCTCTGACAGTCTAAGATCATCAGCCCCCGTGCTGAGGAACTGAAGAGGTCGAGAATATGCTGCTTTTGGACGTGGCGCCTCTGTCGTTGGGCAGCCTGTCCGATTTCTGTCTGTAGCTGGCTTATCTTTGTGTTGGAGCCTGGGACCTTGGAATCCTGTCGAGGTATTGAGATGGCAGGTGGCATGATGCAGAAGCTCATCGAGCGAAACAGCACCATTCCAACTAACAAGAGCCAGGCCCCTCGGTATCAAAGGCTACACTGAGGTGCTTCATCTCTTTTCTTGTTGACTCCCGCTTCATTTATTTCGGACACCTAGGACTTCACGACCGCGGAGGACTATCAGGACCACGTGGAGATCAAGGCTGCAAGCGGGAAGTACAGCAGAGCATAAGGGCGGCTGCCATGCTTGTTGCAAGCTGCTGTAAAGGTCTACGAGGGCGAGCGGGCTATGGTCAAAGCATCTCGGCAGATTAGTAGACTACTTAGTACACTTCTTATTTGGCCAGCATCCGAAGACGTGAGGACAACAATTACCTGGGCAAGTTCGTCCTCACAGGTCTGCCAAAGACGCTGCGGGGCGTCCCGAAGATCAAGGCTGGACCTGCAACAGCCGCATGAATTTCTTGCTGCCTCTACATGAGCCATAGTCTAAACTCCTTAAAAGGGGGTTATATACAGGGGACTTTTATAGGGATTTTAAGGGGGATACTAGGCGTGTAGACAATAGCTTATATGGTCAAGCCTAGCATCTTTTCAGGTCACTTTTAATGTGGACTCCAACGGAATCCTGGAAGTGACCGCAGAGGCTGATGATTCCGTTTTGCGCGAGTCAGTTCGCAGCAGCTGAAGTGACTTGAGTGGCCATGCAGGACATGAAGACGCACAGAAAAGGAGAAATTCAGATCACCAACGAAAAAGGCTGTTCATGCAAGATATGCAAGCAAAACACCGTGGAACTGTGGACTACGAGCTTCATGATGCTGGCCGGACACAGGTCGCCTTTCTCAGCGCGAGATCGAGCGCATGCTGCAAGATGCGGAGCAGCACAAGGCGCGGGGCTCACCAATCCGTTCAAGGAGTGATGTAGCAGTTCCAGGATGAAGATGATCTGGCAAGGGGTGAGATCATGGCCAGAGAGGCTTGGGCATAACACAAGTTTCAGGGCATCAGCCGTGCAGCAAGAAGCCCTGCCAGTCCCTGACCGTGTACATGCGACGGACAAGGAAGGCCATGGATGAGATCGACTCTGCCGGTCACTCAGTACGTTCGCGCAGCACGCGCGTACATGACCATGTTGCAAAGTGCAGGTGCCAACAGAACGATTATCCAGTAACAGATAGCGCATGTGTGAACACTTCAAGTTGCAGAGTGGAGAGAAGTTATGCTTCGCATTCTCATGGGTAATAGGACAAAATTCTCCGGCGAGATAAAGAGCGCCTTGAGAAGAAGATGGAGGAGGCCAGAAGATCTCACCAGCAAAAGATGAGCGACCCGAAAGTTCGGGCCTCTGAGAGCTGCTCTCGGAGGTGGACGTTTGGCTGGACGAGTTCTCGATGAAGGCAGTTTGGCGGAAGTCCTTCAATGCGGTAACCTTATCGCTTGCTTGGTCAGGCAACGAAGGAGGAATTCGAAGCCAAGCAGAGGGTGCCAAAGGGTCGCAGTGCTCCAAATGTTCCCTGCAGATTTTTACATTGCAGGAGCTGGAAGCCGCCATGAACACCATCATGTTGAAAATCAACAGGACCCTTTTTGCCAAATGCAGCAGGGCTCTCCTTCAATTTGAGTTTGGTAAAGAGGCTTCATTGTAGTCTGTTGCTTTCGGGCCCCTGGAGAACTGCAGGACGGAGAGCGATTTCTGGGAACAACAGGTGCCGTGCCCATTTTCATCAGCATTTGTCAGACAAGATCTGCGCTGCGCCGCTTTCCATGGCTTCTAGTGGCTGTGCCAGTTGCATCAGCTGAGCTATACTATAGTCTAAGCTCCTAGTGTCCCCCTTAATAACATATATAATGCTCCCCTATAAAACCCTTATATGGCCTCCCTTTAAGGAGTTCAGACTATAGCCCAACTGGCGGTCCCGAGCCCTTCTGTTTCAGGCAGCGCTGCCTGACAACGAGAAGACGATCGAGAAGGGCGGGTGCCCTGAGAAACAGGTTAGTCCTACGAGTTGTAGAACGAGGTTCGGATGCGATGGCATGAGATATCATGTCTTGGGAACACTGTCGGTCTTCAGCCCCAGCTTGTGTGCAAGCATATTATGTTGACTCTGCTTCGTTCGCAACCCAAAGCGGCCGCGGTAGCTGCTGCACCCGATATTGGAGCACTCAGTTCAGCAACAGACGTTTGCAGGAAGTGGCTCGTTTAGTGTAGACTGAGCGCATCAGGTACTACCTGGACAACGGCCTGGACATTCGTGCCTCCCCTTGCACATGACATAGGCCCTACAGGTGCAGCTGAAGGTGAAGCTGTTGACTGTCAGGCGACCTCATCGAAGATCCAGACTAGCTGATCGGCACCGCGACACCTTTTGCAGGCCGCAAGGCCGCGCGCCAAAGCTTGTAAGAAGGCAGACGAACACAGCGCTCAAGGCGCTAAAGACTCGTGGTCCAGGCCAGGCTGCACAAGCCGAGCAGCTACTGCACTTTTAAGTAGACATCTGCACTCTTCACAAAGTTCCTCAAGTCTGATACGTCGTGGACCACACGCTGACATATGCGAATCGCATAGAGGCGTTGGCCTACATATTTTCCACTACCAGAAGAGGAACTCTAAACAGCTGCACAGTGCGCAAAACAAGATTTCAGCCAGTCTCAGGTTTTAGGGGGCCACAGCATGTGACAATGCCAGACTTGTCTCCATACCTCTAACCCAACTTTGAAGTGTAAGTTCTAATTGGGCCATCCCCTGAACCTCCAAGTATAGTCCCCGTTAAGTAAATAGATAGAATATGGTATATATGGGGATCTTTTTATAGCATACCCAAAGCCATATTCTATCTACTTAAGGGGGACTATAGTCGAGGCTGAGCCTGCTTAGGTGCGACGAGAGCTTCTGAAAGCTGCGGGATCCGAGGCGTGAGCTTATGCATATAATATAGGGCAATATAGGTTATAGAGGGATAGTGGAAAACAAAATGGAAGCTACCATAATGCGTTATATACGGATGAGGGAAAATATCATGGAAGCTACCATGATGGGTTGTATAGGGGTATATGCAGCTGTGGGCACATCAGAAGCAGTACGGTCCTTACACGGGGTCCTTTACTATCCCAGTAGTGGGGAATCATATGGAACGGAAAATGGAGCATGAAACGGATACTGGGTAGGTTGTCTAGAGTCTAAGCTATGGTTTACATAGTAGGGTACGTATTCTCTTGGAAGCACCAAAGGGCCCAACACTTTGCCCCATCATGAGGCATCACTCGGAAGCAAAGGTTTAAGATTCATGGATGTGGAAACCCTGAACCCTAAGCCCTAAACCCTCAACCGTTTCGGAAAAGTACGCTCACTTCCTTAATGCAGTTAAAAGGGCGCAGGAAGACACCATCCCCAAACTTTTAGCACACCCCAAGCAGCCTTGGATAACGGCGGAGTTAGCCATAAATATGGAGAGAATTCGTCAAATGCGTATACGCTGTTCTCCAGACTACCCCGCAGAATATAAGGCTCTCAAAAGACAAGCCCGTCAACTCAAAAGACAGTGGACGAGAGATAAGCTGACGCAGGATTCCAATACCAACCACACGCAAGTCTGGAGGGTCGCTAGGCAGCTTAAGCGTGGGTTCCAAGCCCGCCGAACCAGGCTCAAACAGCATGACAAACCGGTGCCATGGACTAGGACCCATGAGGTCTTCGCAGATCAGCTTACGAATATCCAATGGGGCCCCTCTACAGTTGAGGAGGGCGAAATTAGGCTTCTAGAAGAGTCTCCTCCTCTAAACTCCCCTCCGACTACTCCGCCGGCTACATTCTCTCACGAAGAGCTAATGACGGTGATGCGAGGCCTCAAGGCCAACAAGGCCCCAGGGCTGGATGGTATGAAAGCAGAGGCCCTGATACTCTT